ATTAACGGTAATTACATTGAACTTTATGGGGAAATTTCCTTCGGGTTGCGACCAATTCGGGTTGCGGCCAGAGTCACGGAGCGAATTAAGTTCGTAAACCGAGGTTCCACTGTATTATTATGTAGGCCATTTCAGTATTCCACAAATTAGTCAGGACTTCAAGAGAGTAAGTGACTAAGGAGACAGGAAAATCACCAAGTACATTTAGAAAACTATTCAAATCCATAAATCCTTATTAAAATGAGTATCTCCCATTGAAGCCAATAAATCAGGAAAAATAAAAGAATCTGAATCCACTAGAACACCAGACATTTTAGGAAACTCACCAGCCTTGCAGAGATTCATATTAACACCCAGCCTAGAGATGATCGGAGAGCAATGCAACCATGACAACAGGGCTACACAAGGTTCCTCCACTCTCAGGTCATCAATTCCATTCAAACAAAACAAAATATTAGATCTAGATATGCCCTGCTCTATGTGTGGGATAAATTATAAATTACAATATGAGCAGCCTCAGCATGAATCTTGAAATCCTGACGATGAGAAATCAAGGCCAGATGAATACCTTCCCCAAGACAGGTCAAGCTAACTCAGGAAAAGATACTGTTAAGCAGTGGGATGGACAGTTCACCAACAGAATCCCTGCATGGTCTTAGCAGAAGCATGCACTGAAATAAAATGGAATATCTGGCAGCAACGTTTTCATCCAAAATTAACTGCTGGATTAGAGATAAATATCTGACCTGGCATTAAACAATAGGAGTTTTAGGCTAGATACTGTAGGTTACTTCCTTGTCACCTAACTTTCTTGCTGTGATTGCAACATGAAAGAAGGTGAAGCAAACCAGTGGCTGGCTCCCCCCTCCCCCCCCCGTAAAACAAGGGGAAAATGTTATAGTAGATTCAGATTCTTTTGGTTTTCTTGATTTACTGACATTAATGCGAGATACTCATGTCAACCTGAGCCTAGAACAAGGGGCCTTGTTCTGGGACATTGCTAGTGAATGGTGATGGGCCCTTTGAACATGCTTCATTTCAAGGTCTTCAGGCTACAGCTACTAAGACCACTATGACAACTAGATTTTTCTGAGGCATAACTGGGACCTTGGGGTAAATGTTCTTCCTACTAATAAAAATACATTCCCATTGCACTTTGGTGGTTATACCCATCTGTATCTATTGTCCATTCTAGGTGGCATTAAGTACAATGCCTGGTGCATTGATGGTACATCGCTATGTTCAATAAAATGTTTATGAAACAAGGAAATGAGCAGAGAGTTAGTGTAGACAAACAGTATGAATCTATAATACATGATGTGCATTATATAATAGCTATAATGCACATCAACAAGTTTAAGACCTTCTACTGACTTACTAAAAAAAAAAAGGCTCATAATATTTTTTTTTAATCTTGCCCCAGGGAAATTTTGGCATTTTTCTCCCTCAGCCTATTTTTAATGTTTTATTAAATATTTTATTAATGTTTAATAATTTAATACTTTTGTGTAAATTACTTTATGAGATTTATCAAAAGAATAGTATGCATATCCTATAGTAGCTAGTTGTGGGCTGACAAAGCAATAAAAATACTGTTTCTCAGATTGATCATGCAAAGCCGCCATCAATGCTGATACTGATTCAAATTCGATGAACTGCTATGAAATGGTTAGAATACTGCACTAAAATTGGAAGATCCAGGTTTAAATCCCCATTAGGTATGAACCTTATTTTGGGTCACTCACTAAACCCAATCTAGCTTACTTCACAGAGTTACTGTGAAGATTAAAAAGAAAGAAAAAAGTATAGAATCATGTACATCACCTTGATCACCTGGAGGAAATTTAATGACCAGTAGGAAGAACAGAACAGTGAGCAAGTTGCGTACAAGACAAAGATGCACATAATCTTCAGCACAGTAATAGCATCTCCTGGTGCAATAATTGTTGCTAACACCCTGGAATGGAACTAAGGCTGGTTCACATGTAAATTGAAATTATGTGGGAAAACTGTGGCTAAAAATAAATACTAGATTTATTTATCATTATGTCCAAACTGGGGTTCCTGGCTATATGCTTCCAAACAAGCCAAGAAAAAGAAGCCAAAAACAACTTTGGCATCACATTCTGATTTATTAGTTGAGAATCTCAGTTCAGACATCACTGTAAAGAAAACAAACCTGCAGAGTTCCTAGATTATTGTAATTGCTCCCAGTGCCACAAAGAGTCAATGGAAGCAACAAGTGCTGTTTGCAAATAATAAGCCAGAATTCAAAGCAATTTCACTTGTTATATGTGAAACAGGTATACTGTTTATCCAGACATCTATGTTTTCTGGCTAAAATTAGTTTACATGGTATGATTAATTAAAAAAAGAGCTCCTTTGTAACCCTACTGGTCTGACCAATAATGCCTTAAGCCTTCATTAAGTTTTAAGTGATCGGAAAGTAACCAAACAAATATTACTGCATATGAATATATTCACACAATAATTACCCCTAAAGATAATAGGTAAAATATCTCTGCCTTTAAGATTATGAAATCTGCACTATTTTATACTGCACTGAGTACATATGATACATTATCTGGTCAGGTAAAAGCAATTCTCCTATGAGTGGATTACTTCTAAAAAACTGCTTGGGAGAAAAATATTAATGAAAGGAATCCGAAAGATAAGGTGAATGAAGAAATGGAAATAAAGTAGATTAGAGTGCCACTATAAGTAGTTAACAATGAGTTAGACTGCTTTTCATATAATTAATCAGCTTTAGCAAAGCCTCAAAAACCAGAAACATGTTTACTATTTAAATCTCTGTTATTTCATTATTATTAAAAGGATAGTACATTAAAATTTTTATAATTCACTATTTAACTTTATAGGAATCTCAGATTCAGTGTCATGAATCAAAAGTCCTTTTTATTTTCATAGTTCTCAGATGAAGCCGTGCCAGTAGATATTTTATATTCCACCTGCAGATCTAGTTGTTATTCAAGTCTTTACTTGACAGTAACATTTTTACAACACAGCTTGGTGGCAGACAGAAAGCTGGCTCTTAGATGACAGTATGAGTAGGATTGCCAAATGTCCTAAATGGAATTGCCACTTTCTTGTTTAGCATCTTGGATAGGACACAATTTGTATCAATTATCTCATTCTGTTTTTGATCCCCAAAAAGCAAGTGGCAAATAGGGTGCTCCTTAATCAACCAAAATATTCAATTCCTGCAGTCTCTGTACCTGCAGTACAAAAGTTCTCTGCAATGAATTTATTTAGAAGTCATCTTTGAACTCCCAAGACATGCAAGGAGATGATGGAAAAAACAGAACTGGGGAACTGTTACTGCAAGAATGCAAACAACGAGGAAACTACCACCAGAAAGAGGACTGGGTAATAAATTAATCTTGCTAAGAATTTGGTTTACAGAAAATTATTCCATGCATGCCACTCTCAATAGACAGGTCCACTTCCTACTTTTTGGAAACATAGTAAATATAGTGCATATTTTATTTTTTAGGCACAGTTGGGTATTGACGTGAATTTCCCTTTTTCTGTCCTTAACGTCTTATAAGATACACTTGTCTATAACTAGTTCAACTTAACACTCAACATAATAAATATCATATTACATGTTTTGTTGTACCATACTAGTTAAATGAGATTCCACAATTTCAAAATGCAATAAACTGCTTTAGAACAAACAAAGGCTATAAACAAACAAATAAATAAAAAGAGGCAGAAACTATGCTGACTTCCTATACTAACTTAGCCACTGTATACATACCTTAGCAGCCTACAAAAACTTCTTCCGTAGCTGAGTCTCTGGCTAGCTGCAGCCACACTGGGTGGAAATGGAGGACGCGATGGGAAGTAAGCTAGCGCTGCAGAGAATATCAGGGCCACAATGCCAAATTCTATGAGGACACAATTAAAGAAACCAGAGAAAGAAATGGATTATAATAAAATATACGTATATTATCCCAAAATGTTCTCAATGTGCTTTAAAGTGCAATGGGAACAAAAGAGAATATGACCCGGAAAGTGGCTTACTAGATTCATGAAATGAGCATATAAATATTGTCTGATCGCAGTCCCCATTCCCTGACTATCACTATCAGTCTCATCACCTATTCCTCCTTTCAATAAACAATAGCAGTAACTGGCATTCATCTCAGAAATGCAGTAAAATAGCAAAGGTATATATTGGAGTCAAATACATAAGTTGTAGCTTTAATGGGACAATATATGTATTTATTTATTTATATTTCAAATTTCATCACCACCCATCTCATGAGGAAGTGACTAATAAGAGTGATTAATAGCAAACAAAAGCCACAAATTCAAATAGCAGAAAATTAATTATAAGTTAATTGCATCACTGAAAAAAGCAACAGGCATTTTTTATGGGACTGAAATGAACATGGAGAAAAAAACATTTCAGGCGAAAGGAAATACAAGAAGAGAGTTCCCTGAGTTTTTCCTCAAAAAACAATGCAGTTACGAAATCAACTGAGATATATTCTAGTCGTGGTTTTAATTATAAGGAAATGTAAGCTGCAATGAGGCTATCACACCCTAATATCAAATGGAAGAAAGAGGTGAGAAAGATATACCAGCCAGCAGAAATAAAACAGCACAGTAAATCTTTGATTGAACAAATTCTTGATTTAGCATACTTCAAGTGCAAAAGACAAAATCTGCTATATGTGTTATACATAAGTAAAATATGCATTCTTAAAATCCTATTCCTGTTTTATGAATGCACAGGATTTATAAAATGCATAAAAACCCATTCTGATTTAACAGACATTCTGCCATAACAAACACTCCTTCCTCATCATTAGGTCTGTTAAATTGAGAATTTATTGGATTAAATACAGAGAAAGAACTTTTGAAAGATAAACACAAGAGTAAATAATAAAAGAAAAATCCATGTAGAATTCAAACAGATTATGAATCTACTGGAATACATCAGTGTGCACATAATTTGATTTCCTACATATAAAAATACAAATCATCTGGATGCTTCAGAGAAATGCGTAAGCCCAAAACTCTGATCCAAACCTCAGCACTTGCCATCATCTGTGTTTACACCCATCAGAAGCATTTACAATGCAAATCAGCAACTGGACCTTTATACTTGAAGAATGTCTAGGTGGAATATCTACAATATGGACAATCTCTACTGCTTTGAACCTTCCTTAAGCAGGAAAATTTTGGACAACTGAGACCACAAGTATATCTCTAACCAGCATTCCATCTCAGATACCTGTGAATATGGCTTTGCTACTGGAACCAAGTGACATAAGAGGATTTTTGTGTGTGGGTGTGGGTGTGTCTTTGAGTCAACGTTGACTCGTGGCAACTGCCTAGACTAGTCCCTGCAGTTTTCATGGCAAGATTTTTGGAAGTGATTTGCCACTGATTTCTTCCTAGGGCTAAGAGAGTGATTGTCCAAGATTTTAAATTGTGGACTTAGTCTGTCTAGTTATTATCAACTGAAATCTCAGATTTAAGTTTTTTGTGTGATACGTAAAAAAACCCCAGTATTTAGAAATTTAACATTTCATTTTATAAAGATATATTTTAAATTAGATTATATTGTGTAGCCTGTGAATGAAATCATGGGCTTGTTCTGCACATATTTCTAGTTACAATTTATGTTTGTTCAAATCTAGGTTATGGTACATTGATAGCTGTGACCTCATATTCTCTACGGGGACCTACTTTCTTTCCGGGTACTATTTGTGGCTTTTTTGCTCAAAATTGTGGGAAATAACCTATAAATATATGAAACCAGATTCAGGAGAAATAGTATTCCAGTATGAATGTTATGAAGAAATAACCAGCAAACAGGCCTAAGCAAACAACAGATCCATTATCTCAAGATGCCTACCAGTAGATAAATTTATCTCAATCAGTTTCCTATAAAAACATTTAGCTTCTCACTGTGTCAGCCTTTGGCTTAATTTCTTTTGTTTTCAAATATAATGTTAATGACTATTAAGGGAAGAATAAAAATGTAGCAAATATGCTAAATTCAATTAAATTGTTAAGACTGTAAAAGTAAACCCATACAGAATGTATTCATTGCAACAAATAATTTGCAAAGCAATGCCATAAGTTGTAGCCATACTGCATTTGTACTATGCATAGTTCTGCCCTTCAGAGCAACTTAACTGATAGTGGCATCAGACAATATAATTTATACTTAGAGCAAATTCAGTTGGTAAGTGCCAAAGGATGGTGGCTGAAACAGGGCTATTGAGAGATTAGATAGAGGTATCAGCACTTTATAAAATATATGAAGTCTTCTATAATATAAAAAATGGGCCCTCAAATAACCTCAGTGATAACTGATGATGTTCAATGGTACAGCATATAATGGTGGGGAAGACTAAGGAAGGGTGAGAGGAAAACAGAATGGGATATTCTAGAGAAGAATATGATCAGCTGGCTGGCACACTGAACAAAATCACTTGTTAGGTGTATACTTCTATTAGAGTATGAGATCACTTCTAAAATAAGCAGCATTTATTCTGAACTGATACTTCAAATTTGATCAAATCAGTCTACTGAATTTTGCTTTGTGCAATCAATATGTCTAGCTAAACCAGTATGGAGTAATGTTAAGGTACATAATTTTAAAATGCTTTCATATTCTATTAGCTTTTGTTTTAAAGGAATTATCTACTACGGATCTATAGAATTATGTGAGACAAAATCTACATCAAATTGAAATTATTTTATTAATAACCTTAAATTGATTTACAATATAAAGACACTCACAGAATTAGACATGAGGTCTGTATTTTATTGATGTCTGAAAAACAGAACTGGCAGTGAAACACTAAAAAAAGAATAGGAGGGTCAGTTCTATTTTAACATAGCCGCATCCTAGTGGAAAAATGTTTGCCAAGTGAATTGCATAGATACGATTGGTTACATTCAAGAAGAAAAAAAAATGTATAGCTAATACACACAACTAGGGTTTTGCATTTTAACATAAAGAGCAAATAATTCTAATAACTCTATTCTTGTAGCAATAGTTTTTTTCCCCCAGATGAACAATCACTAGAGGGCAGTAGCAAATTCATAACAGATGTACATAATGCAGTAAAGTATAAAATTATTTCTTAGATACCTGCAAACAATACAGCCTCAATTCGGTCCTTTATGTACTCAGGACTACTTTCAAACACAAGTGGAACTGCTGATGTGCTATTTGGCCCTGGAACTACTAAAGGTCCTACTAAAAATGCACATGCTCCGCCAAGGTAACTAATCAATGATGCAATAGCTGTGGCAGTAGCACGTTCATCTGGTGAAAACCATGTAGTAGAAAGAAGTGGAGAAGCACTTGTTACAGTTGGACCTGCCAATCCATTTAACAGCTGTCCTCCATGTATTAGCCTGGAGAGAAAGCAAAAGAGAGACACATACAGATTGAATAGCCATATACAAACTCCTGAGAGTGCTATCAACATTTATGGGGAAACAATTCAATTTCTCTCTTTAGGCTGGGCTTTTAAAACTATGAAGATTTGACACATGAGCTTCAGAGTGCTTCCAAAAATTGGCATGAAGACAAGGACTAAAGTCAGCAACCTTTTCAGGAAGTACATGACATCATTTTGCTGATGTTGTAGGTACTAACAATTAAAATAAAGCTGCCACTCCCATTTCTTCTTATTCCTATTCTTATTCTTAATCTTGTTAGGACTTCATGTGAGGACACAGAGTTTTCAATATTTACTGTCAAATGAGTCATATTACTTGCCCCCAAGTTCAGACTAGTATTCAGTAATTATATACCAGAGAAACCTGTTACTAAGAAATAGTCTTAAATACTGCCATTCACACTGGGACAACACAAAGAAGATTTGTACTATATAATATATTTGAATAAGAATATCTACATCTCATGAATATGTGAGGCTCATTCATGTTTTATGCATGTCTCAATTTTAATTTTCACTTACACCATGCATTAAACAGATGAGAATTGGATTATGTAAAGGAAAAAGCATGTATATTGAGTTCCAAAGCCTTTGATGAAAACATAACTATCAGCAAATACTAGCACAGAACATTGAAGAACATCAGTTTTCACTATTATTGCAATATTAGTAATAATGTTATATATCACATTTTTGTAACATACACAAAAGGAACCTTAGCAAGGGGGAAAAAAGAATGCATCACACTCGTTATCAAAAATAAAAAACAGAAGAGATCAATAAAGAACAAAAGCATTAAAGAAATTTGCTGCTTTTCCAGACCGAGAAGCCCCAAACCAATGAAATGGACTAAGCTATGTAACTGCCTAGTCTCATAATCATCAAGTTGGGGGCCCTGAATGCAGAAGTGTACCCTGTCTCTTGGCTGGTTGAAGATATTCTGTTGCCTGAAGCAGAACACTAAGGGGACAGGAAAAACAACAACTGGAGTCTCTAAAGTGGGGATTTTGTTGCTTCTGACATGCAGCTCTCTTCACATCTCTAAGTATTCTTGCTGTGCATACATACACAGACACAGATATACAAGCAACCCCAGCACTACTATAATTTAAACCAGTATTGTATACTGCAGGCTAAAACAATGGTTCTTCCAACTTCCTAAATTTACTGAAACAAGTTAAAAAAAAATCTCATGTGATCAGACTCCAAAGTAGTTTGAGCAGAAGTTGATTCTAAAAAGTAGGAGTTCAATGCAAGAAGGCTTACAATTTCAGTCGGTCATTGTGAAATGTGGGAAAACTAAGCAACTCTGATTGCAGGATCAGGCCAAGTACATAGAAACATGAATTCCTATCAAATTGTTCAAATAACTAGCTGGGGGTTTTGAATGATGTGATTGTCAGTTACTCTCCAGTAAAATCTTGGACTGCTCTGGGACTGCTGAGCGCTATTGAGAAAAGTCTCTTGGCCTTCACTTTTTAGTTTGAACTATACCTAGAAGTTGCATCATAAGAGACCCTACGTCAGGTGGTATTAAAAGGAGACAATAAATAAATACATAAACTATTGTTGCATGCAGTTATATCAAATATGCAAAAAGGCAGAACATTATGTGATTTTTAAATGGGAACTGATTTGCACTGTTTTACTTCTTTGAGAGATAGGATGTAACGGTAATAAGTTCTTACTGTCACTATATGCCAGTGTTAGTTTTTTGTGTCAGTTCTTGACAATCCTGTTGCATGAAATTTGCATTTTATTATCTGGCACTTTATTGATACTAAACTTTACAATTACCTGTTTTTCAGCACTTTATACCTTGGTTTTCTGATGTTACTTTTTTTCTAAGTAATGTATACAGAACAAGGTACTCTTGATACTTCAATCTGCAGTATCTCATTCAACTCTTATCTGTTTGCCCTTTATTCATTTATCAGCTGAAGATGGAGTACATTTATCCCAGTAGCCTCAAGCAGAGGAAGAAATAATGCTGGGGAATGGATAAGCTGAACACAGAACAGAAGAGATACAATTTACAGCTATTCCTCTTCCAGGTTCTTTCCACAAACAGAGGATTCTGGATTACACCTACCATTAGAAATCTTCATTTCCTATTTTTACTACTTTTTATGCATTCCAAATGTTTTATATTTGTGGGACAGACACTGTGAAATACTGTCTAGATGAAATCTCTCTGCCACATATTTGAATTAATTCACTGATTTGTGAACTCTGAATTAAGCTGCTTTTTGCCTGGGGGAAAGATCACTACCTTATCTTCTTAGAGACAGAATGAAAGAAGATACTCCAAATATGGTTTTACATACATAGTAATCTCCTACTAATGGGGGAGCCAAATTTGCCGCTGCTAATATAGCTGACAGAAATATGAATCCATCAGGACCTGTACATGTTCTGCCAGCTGTGCCTTATGATCACTGTAGCTGATTTCAGCCTGAAAAGACTATCAGAACTTCTTCATATAGATCATTTCGCACTCTAAAGAGTGGTTTGAGATTAGAAGCATTTGTTACTGTTGTTTCCCCCTTTTTTCCTTGTTTTTGTTATCCGGAAGGATCAAAGAGCAACTGCATTTTTCTTCACTGTCTCATGCTGCAATTTAAGTTTAATCTGGTAATGTAAAATGCCTTTTGTACAAAAGATGAGGATAAAGACAATTTTGTTCTATAGCTGCAAAGGAGAAAAGCATTTTTAAATATGGTTAAACTAAGAGTAATATTTTGATCAATTTCTGTATCTTGCACTCTGCTCTCAGGTTTGTACAAGATTTTTCCAATTTTCATTATTTTAGATCTCAAGCAATGTGGTGAGTAGTGAGAATTCAAGTCCAGAGTTTTCATAATATGGTTGAGGGTAAAATCATGGAAGAAAATACGAGGCATTTCAACAGGGTTATGAAATAATCAATTATTTAACCTTTTCCTTGAGACTGAAGCTGTTTATTTTATTTTAGTGAGTTTGGCATCCATATCAAAGGCCTGTATTTAGCATCCATTTTGCATTAAGTTTACTTTTATCTATTAAAATGGGAAAGCAAGCTTAGCCTCAGGATCTGAAGTGTAGCTATGTCTGAATGCACCACATCCTTTGAGCTACATAAATAAACACTTTATTTCATCAAGTCCAAAACTGATTTTGTAACGTGGCGTGGGACAGAGGCTGTGTAATAATTACACATGGTTTGTGCTAATATTTACCTGTTAGCAATGCAGAATTTTTAACTGCTGGCCTCTTAAAGGCAAGATGAAACGTCCATTTATTTGTCTTTGAGGCAGAAGGAGAAGAAAAATGGCTGGGTCAGCACTTTTTTATTTAAAAATCTAATAAAAATGGTATACCAGATTGGCCAGGATAAGTAGACTAGGATTATATTTGCTTTCTAAAGTGTGGCTGAAAAATCATTGCCATCTTTGTTTTAACTGTAACATACACAGGCACACACATACGTACACACATAAACAGCTTGCTTGCTCACAGTAGCCATGTGGTAATTCCAGAAACTATTGTAAGCTCTTTGAGTTTTTCAGAAGTGAAAGAATACAGAAGAGGCCTTTGAACTGAACTTTCTTACGTGTTTCAGAAAATAAATGAAACTACCATCAGTGTCCATTGCATTTTTTCCCCCTAGAGAAGGACAAATCCTAGCTGGAGTTTATTCCTTGTCACCCTCTGTTTCACTGTGGATCACTTGGGAACAAAATTCCCAAATGTGCCCTGCAGAGGATCCACAGTGGAATTGTTTTTCATTGCATGATTAACAAACTATGATTTAAAAATGCTGGCTTGGCACCACATTAAATTCAGCTGCTGTTGTTATTTATTTGATTTAGGCACTGCCTGTCTCAGTTGAACTCTGGGCAGTTCACAATATAATACAGTTCAGTTCAGTTCTTTATTGCAGTCATAGACCAATACAAAGACATAGGTTTAT